AATAAACGCGGAATGTTCGAGGAATAATAATATAAGTGCCAATGCATTGCATGGGGCTTCGCCCCATGCAATGCATTGCCAGCTGGGGGCTCCGCCCCCAGCTGGCAAGGCACCCATAATGAATACTATTGCTTCTTCCTCAGTGCCTTTTTGATGTCAGACACAGGGAAACCATATCTTCCTCAGATAAATAATCATAACTATTGTCTGACAGACTCCCCGCACAGCTTTATTATACAGTATGTTTGATCATTTAGAGATGATTGATGCTGAATTGGACAGAAACACAGCAGAATAGTGATGATATGATTATATATTTAGAACACTATTACAAAATTGTGTGATACAGACTCAAGTGCAAGTGAAAGTGTTTAGTCAGGATAAAGTTTTCAGATCAAGAAACAGAGTTGGTGGAACAAATGTTTATTATCCACACTACAGTTCACTGCCAAGGGTGAGTTCATAGCTGAGAATAAAAAATGCAAAAGTTGAAAATATGATGATCATGAGAAAGAAACAACACACAAAAAATAAAAATGAAATAAATAAATAAATAAAAACAATGTTGGTCTTAAAAAAAATCATAATAATCCTAATAGAAAATTGTGGGTAAATAGTTGTTTATGGGTGAGCTCTTGACGTGTGAAGGACTCTGGATTACAAAGGGGTCTGTATTCATTCAGTCCATCTAACAGAGAGCATGTTGGCAGTTTGGGAAATATATGCAGCATTTTAACACAACATGTTCATTATACCATTCATTTGAAAAGCAGCATCATCAGTGATCCAAACTGATGGTCTTTCTTTTGCAGGTCATGTTGGAGCAAATGCAAGGACTGATGCATCTTGAACTGTCAGGCTGCAATGACTTCACAGAGGCTGGCCTGTGGTCTAGTCTGAACGCCCGTCTAACTTCCCTCAGCGTCAGTGACTGCATCAATGTGGCGGATGACGCCATTGCTGCTATCTCACAACTCCTACCTAACTTATCAGAGTTGAGTCTGCAGGCTTACCATGTCACTGACACAGCCATGGCCTACTTCACAGCCAAACAGGTAGAATGCCAAAACAAGAGACACCAGTTTGGTGTTTTTCTGTTGTTTTTTAGTTGATAAATTGTGTATGTTGTTTTAGCTAGATCTTAATCTTCTCTTCATATTAATGAATAAAGCAGATATAATTGTTAAGTATAGTAATGAAGAAACAAAAAGGCAGCTTGTAGTAAAACATTCAATTAAAGGTCCAGTGTGTAAGATTTAGGTGAAAGGGATCTATTGGCAGAAATTTAATGTAGAATAATCCTCATGATGTTTTCACTAGTTCATTTCATCTAAATTGTATGAATTGTAGTTTTCTTTACCCCAGAAAAGACCCTTTATATTTAAATACTTTATATTTACATGGAGAGGTCCCTCTCTACAGAGGCCGCCATGTTTTTTACATTAGTCCAGACTGGACAAACTAAACACCTTCTGAGTTTTTATGACAACTGAAGCTACCACAGGTTCTTTTTCATGTTGAAGGAGAGGGTGAGGTGAGGGGTGTTCAGCTGCAACATGCAACTTCAACACTAGATATCACAAAATTCTACACACTGTACCTTTAAAGGGAGAGTTTACAAAAAAAGAAAATTCACTCATTATCTACTCACCACTATGCTGATGGAGGGGTGGGTGAAGTGGTTGAGTCCACAAAACACTTCTGGAGTCTCATAAGTAAACTTTGTAGCAGCCGAATCCGTTACAATTGAAGTGGTACAACTGGTGACAAAGACTTCAGACGTAATTAAACAACAGAATAAACATAACATGCCTCCATACTACTTGTGTGGTGTCATCCAAGTAAGCCCCAACATTCATAATCGACTCAAGACAAGGTCATTTACACCATGTTTTTAGCCTAAATGTCCGCTGATATCTTCCTACGAGGTGCATTAATGGCCCCTCTGAAACACCATCATGTAGCTAAGCTTAGCCACTTCTGGTGGACTTTTAAACTTAAAACATGGTGTAAATGACGACATTTCGAGTCTAATATGAATGGGGGGGGGTCTCCGCTGCCTCATACTAGCATTCGTATTATAGTTATCTTTATTTAAAGGTACTTGCAAGCTCTCAACATACTCTAAAAATGGGGTCCAAATCTTCCAAAGAGCCTTTAAATGTATATCTGATCTTCTCAAGTATTAGAAATGCATCTGGAATTTAAGGAGATAGATGCTACAACTGCAAAAGCCTTGTATTTGAGGGAGCAAGTTTCAGGGGATAACCCGAAAAGGGCACATATGGGACAGGTGGTGATGTTTTTTTGGAAGATTTTAGTATTAGCGCTGAAAATGTGAGCCCAAAATGTGTCAAGTTTGGGACAGGACCAAAACATATGTACAGTATGTGATCCGCTGGCTGACCTTTGCAACAAGCATATAAAGGGTCTAGGTCAAATGTGCTCTCAGAACAAATTTAAGTGGTATCAAGCTGTGCCTAGCACAAGGGGAAGAAGGTGTGTATGAAGTCAAGCACTGCTTTCCATTGATCATCTGGCATTACCTCTCCAAGGTTGTTCTCCCAAAGGCTTCTGACATCTTGTAGGGAGTGAGGGATGATATTGCATGTATTGCTATAGTGAACAGAAATTAGACCTTCACGCAATGTGGGAATAATGAGAGGATACGATCCACTGTGTTGTTGGATGGAATTGGTGATATCTAAAAAATTTAGATTTTGGTAAAAGTGAATAATTGAGAGTGGTGCAAAGGACCCAAACTTGCCATCCACATATGAATTAGAAATGGATTTAATGCCCTTTGAGGACCAAGCTTCAAAAGAGGATTTAGAGAGAGAATGTGGGAAGTTATAATTGTTTTTGATAGGAGAGTGCACCGAAATGCCTTCTTAATTGCGACCAAATTCTAATTGAATGATAGACCACTGGGTTAGAACAAAACTGACTTTGAGGAGGGGGTGATGGGGCACATTGTACAAAGCCTAGATTAAGTGGGCTACAAGCATACTCTATTTGTACCCAGGTCTCACATCTACCAGACCGTTCCCCCTCAATCCAGTGCAACATTGCCTTTTTATTACATGCCCAATTATAATAAATACAGTTGGGTAGGTCCAGGCCAGCAAGCTTTTTAGGCCTTTGAAGGGCACTTCTTCTGTGGTTTGCTGTTCCAAATAAATGTTGAAATGCTCTTTTCCAGTGAGTTAAAGAATGTTTTTTTGATCAGGAGGGGGATGTTTTGAAAAAGGTAAAGGAATTTTGGTAATTTTTTTCTGTTGTTTAATGTCTGAAGTCTCAGTCACTATTTACGTCAACTATATTGGTTCCGGCTGCTACAGAGTTTACTTTTGAGACTCCAGAAGTGTTTTGTGGAGTCAAACACTTCACCCACCCCTCCATCTGCATAGTGGTGAGTAGATAATGAGTGAATTTTAATTTTTAGGTAAACTATTCCTTCAATCAAATGACTTTAATAACCCTCCTCTTTCAGGGCTACACCACCCACACTCTGCGGCTACACTCCTGTTGGGAGATCACCAATCACGGTGTGGTCAACATGGTGCACAGCCTTCCCAACCTGACTGCCCTCAGCCTCTCTGGCTGCTCCAAGATCACTGATGATGGTGTGGAGCTGGTTGCTGAGAACTTGCGTAAGCTCCGCAGCCTGGATCTATCCTGGTGCCCTCGGATCACTGACATGGCCCTGGAGTACATTGCCTGTGACCTGCATAAACTGGAAGAACTGGTGCTGGACAGGTCAGTGTGTCCTGCCTTCATCCTTATTATTAGCAGGAGAGAGTAAAATGCAGAGGTGATTAAAAGTAACAGATTGTACCTGCACCATGGGCGGCTGTGGCTGAAGGGTAGTGCGGTCATCCTCCAACCAGAAGATCGGCAGTTCAATCCCCAGTCTTCCCCATCTGCATGCCAAAGTTTCCCTGGGCAAGATGTTGTACCCCGAATTGCCCCTCATAGACCAAAAAAAGTTCTGCTTAAAAGTTGCACTGTATGAATGTGTGTGTGAATGGCAAACTGTACTGTAAGGCTCTTTGAGTGGTTATCAAGACTAGAAACGCTCTATATAAATACAAACCATTTACCACAAATAAACCATTGTTTACTACACTTTTCTAAACATCCATGGTTGATTGACAATTATAAGCTGCATTAGGAAGCTTGTGTATGCTCTTTCTTTCATCTCAGAGTACATTCATGTGATAGAGGGTGTTGCAAATTACACCATCATTACAACCATAGTAAATGAAATGACATGATGACAATCAAAATGCAATTACAGCAACAGCAAAGATTATATTTACTGAGGTGAAATGTGTATGACCTAACTGAAATAATGTTAAGGCTATAAAAGACTGTGATTTACTATAGTATAGTATGTATTTTAATCCCTCCTTCCTGTCATTAAACAAAGAAACTATCTACTATATATAACAATCTACTGATCTTTACAAAACATCACTTGATCTTTATTACTTGTGTTTTAGTCCACATCTGATATCTTTGTTTTCCACTGAGCTCTTTGGTCTGTGGTTGGGGTGTTTGGATGTTTCAATCAGATCTGCTTATATTCCCTGGTTTAATGTTAGATGAAATCCTGATTAAAGACAAAGAGACTGATGAATAACGCCTAAAGCTGCCGTCGGGAGGTTTTTTAAAGGGGAGGAGAGCGAGACAGACGATGTGAGAATCTGAGTAGAACTTCCAGTCCCTGTTCCGCTAAGCTCCAAAACTGTCTCCAAAGGCCCTCCGAACCACAGAGCAGGAGCAGGCCCTGGTCATTTCAATACAATCTTTTCAGCAACTTTGCAAATGCAACAACTCAACGCTAACTGCAAGAAACAGGTTAGACCAACTGCAAGGTCACAGTAACAGGAGATCTGCGACACTTGGTCAGACAACTTCTTGGCATTGATTGGTGTATTATTCAATTCAATTCTATTAAATTTTATTTGTATAGCGCCAGATCATAATATACATTATCTCAAGGCTCTTTACATAGAAGGTCAGGAACTTAAAATCTTATTAATATAGAGAAACCCAACAGTTCCCACAATGAGCAGCACTTTGGAGACTGTGGAGGAAAACTCCCTCATTAACAGAGAGAAAGCTCTAGAACCAGACTCAATGTGGGCGGTCATCTGCCTCAACAGGTTGGGATGAGCAGAGAAAAAAGGGGAGGAGAGGAGAGATGGGAGGAAAAGAGGAGAGAGAAGAGAGAGAGATAGTGGAGAGGGGGAGGAGAGAGAGAGCAGAGAGAGACCGGGAACACCATCAGGTTAAAATGTAAACAATAATAGTGTAAAGAATTTATTGATTATTATTGATAACAGTAACAATTCATATAATAATTAATTACTAATAAGTATTGTTGTTAATAATAATAGTTGTTGTCCTGCAGTTCTGGAGTCAGAGATATCTGCAATGAGAGAGAGAAAGAGAATATGGGAGAAAATTATATTATAGTTATTGACATGTATTAAAATAAATAAAATAGTGTGGGGGGGCAGAGAGACAGCAGCATTACCAAGGGATGGTTCAGGACTCAACTGATCCAGGACTAACTATAGGCTTTATCACAAAGGAATGTTTTAAGTTTAACTTTAAATGCTGAGATGGTGTCTGCCTCCTGAACCCAGAGTGGGAGCTGGTTCCACAGGAGAGGAGCCTGGTAGCTGAATGCTCTACCTCCTGTTCTACTCTYACAGACTCTTGGAACCACTAGAGAGCCTGTGTTTTGATCTATTTGGATAATATGGTGTTATGAGCTCTTTAATACATGATGGGGCTTGATTGTTGAGGGCTTTATGTGTGAGGAGCAGGATCTTGAATTATATTCTGAATTTTACAGGGAGCCAATGTAGAGAAGCTAAGACAGGAGTGATATGATCTCTCCTTCTAGTTCCTGTCAGCACTCGTGCTGCAGCATTTTGGACCAACTGGAGACTTTTTACAGACTTCCTGGGGCATCCTGATAATAAAGAGTTACAGTAATCTAGTCTACAGGCAACAAATGCGTGGACTAGTTTCTCAGCATCCTTTTGAAACAGGATGTTTCTAATTTTGTTAATATTGCGCAGGTGGAAGAAAGCTGTCCTAGAGACTTGTTTTATATGTTGGTCAAATGACATGTCCTGGTCGAACATAACTCCATGGTTCCTCACAGTGGAGCTGGAGGTGAACTAAGTGATTAGATTCATCAGGCTTCATAGAAATGTACAGCTGGGTGTCATCTGTGTAACAATGGTAGTGTATGTGGTGCTTTCTCATGATGTTGCCTAAGGGGAGCATGTATAAGGTGAAGAGTATAGGTCCAAGGACAGAACCTTGTGGAACTCCATGACTAACTTGCATGTGCATGGAGGGGTCATTGTTGACGTTAACAAATTGAAATCTATCTGATAAATATGATTTAAACCAGTCTAGTGCAGTTCCTCTGATTCCTACATGTTGTTTTAGTCTCTGTAACAGATTATCTGCCTCATGTCCGCCTCAGTCTACTGATGTGTGAATGCTTTCTTTACAGCAGAGATTCTAATCGCGCCAGTGTGGTTTTGTTAATTGTTGTGTTTTATGATTGTAGGTGCGTGCGGATTACAGACACTGGTTTAGGGTACTTGTCCACCATGTCGTCATTAAGGAGTCTCTATTTGCGCTGGTGCTGTCAGGTAACACAAAACACAAGTTCACTGTCTTTTCTATCTATTTATCTATCTATCTATCTATCCATCTATCATACAGTTTAAGCACAGAATAATTATCTCACGACATTAATGTCACATTTGCAAACCTTAAGGGAGAAGTTTTGGATGTGTTGTGTTTCTTTCTACAACCAGCAATGGATAAATGCAGATGAGAATTCAATGAAAAGAGTCCACATTGGTGTGTCTGTGTGATTGCAGGTGCAAGATTTTGGACTGCAGCATTTGTTTGGAATGAGGAGTCTTCGTCTTCTGTCCCTTGCAGGTTTGATTTCTTGCTCCATCTTCCAAATAGAACGAGACATAACCCGTTTGTATTCCATCCACATTGAAGTATTGAATTTAATGCCATTCATATTTAAATAATAAGAATCTCTCTTGTTCTTGCGTTCATTAGTAACGGTAGACAGGCAAGTAATGGACAGTAGTAAAGAAGTGAGAATATGTATGGTAGAGAATCTAAACTGAAAAGTTCAGTAGTGTGAGTGACCAAGACTGCAAATATTTTATACTGAGCTGAAACAAAATAAATACAATCTGCAACTATTTTGAAAGTTAATTCATTTTTAAAAACATTTGTCAAGACAAATGCCAAGAATTTTGTAATTACAGCTCCTTATGTTTTCGTAAATGTCCCTCTGGACATTCAAACAACTACTCAAAACTCTTTTTAAAAAATGCATATGACCTGATTTGATTCAACCTGCCCTTGTCTTTGTCCCTGTCACCTTAAGTATATCCTTCTCCCTTAAATATGAAAAGTGTTCTTGGGTCCCTTGAAAGGCGCTATAAAAATGTATTATTATTAGACAAAATTGCTGTGGGTTCTAGACTGTTGGTATAAGAGAACCATACATTTGATGACAACATGTTGGACATTACATTAGCATTGTACAAAACCAAGACTGATATTGAGAATTAATATTGACAATACTGATATCCATGGATTAGTCCCCTTTGTGAATGTTACCCAGTCCACAGCTGTTATTCCTGCTGCTGTGTCTCTCTCAGGCTGCCCCCTGCTGACCACCACTGGTCTGTCGGGCCTCATCCAACTGCAAGAACTGGAGGAGCTGGAGCTGACCAACTGTCCCGGAGCCACTGCAGAGCTCTTCAAATACTACTCGCAGCACCTGCCCCACTGCATGGTCATTGAGTAAGACCACTGACAACTGGCCAACCGGCTGACCAGCCGCCATGCTTCAACCCTCCTCCTGTTTACTCTTTCACTTTTTTCCCCAAATGCTAATCAGGAGACTGAACTGATCCTATAGTACCACACTGTTCCTCATTACCGGTCCCCCTACCCCACGTCTTCCTCCACACCCATTGAGAAGACTGACCCACAGGCGGACAGAGGCAGGAAGGCAGATGATGGTACATGCCAGACCCAGTGGATGATGGGATGGCGTTTGAGCTTCATTTGAAAAAGGCACTGGCGTGAAGAGCTTGGTGTGACGTCTTGTCTGACAAGTTTCTTTTTCAGGATCAACAACAGGTTTTTGTTTGCAGACAAGAGCTTCTCTACAGACTGATTTTTTTCAGCTGAATGGATACTGAAGGGAATAACATTCACAGATAAATATGCAGCGTGAAGAAGTTTGGAAAAAGGGAAATAGACCTTTGTGTTTGAGCTGAAATGGTGGAACTCACACATGCGCTCATACACATATTGTACATGGTAAGTGAACAAATGTAAGTCTTCAAGACCATGAGTACTGATATTTCTATCAATCAGTCTGTGTAATAAACTGCTGGTTTTCTTTTTCTCAGAGGGTATCTATCACAGGTAGAATTTTATTTGTGTAGAGAGACAGCACATGGAGACTGGAGAGACAAGGATGAACAAAAGATGCAGTTCAGGAAGTGAATGACAGGGACGGAACATTTTTCTCTGTGTGTGGTGTGTATCATGGACTCGCAGCTTTTTGGGATACCACCAACTATTTCCATTTTTATTTCATGTCTTATCAGAAATCAAAAAAGGAGAAACTGAAACCCAACTGTTTTCATTGTTTTTTGTGTTGAAATTGCACGCTTTTTTGTTTTCTCTTTTGATCCTCCCGTCTTAATTTTTTGTATACATATATTTTAATTTACAAATCTGCAGGAGAAGCTGTCATACATTATGAATGTTGTGCTTTTAAAGGGTAAACGTGTTACTGAGGCAACGTGAAGCAGTCAGTCTAAGTGCTTTCCGACTTGGAGTTTCTGCTGAATTTAAAATGCTTTCTCTCAAACAATGGATAGAAATTAATCATAAATGGTAAACAAGGCAAATGTGTGACTTAAACCCACAGTGATAACTTCATAACTTTCTAACCTCTTGCTCAAACTCATTATTTATGTCCATCTTTTAAATGCAGATAGAAACAGATCTGAAGCTGCTAATGCATTTTGTGACCCCTCTGGCTCGGGTCATGTTACCCTCTAAGGTGAATTGGAGAGGCTAGGGGATTTCTGTATTAATCAATCTTTTAAAATGAACTGGAGCCAAGGGTCCTTACAATGTAGCGGTTTTAAAATAATCTAGTTCGTGAGAATTCTAAGGTTTTTCCAACAAACCCAGAGTCAGAGAAATGTAATGGTTAAAGGCTAAGATCTGCCACATGGCTGCAGAATTTGACAGGGCATGTGCAGTCACGTGATCAGATAGGCTGTAATCAAACTATCTGGTTATTGTAACTTGAAATGTAAAATTATTACTCAAATCTAAATTGTAATAAACATTAGCTTAACATACTATTTCAAGTTCTCATACACATCGGTAAACTAAGCTAAGCTACAATTCAGCATCTTTATCCGATTAAAAAAAGAAAAACAACCAAATAACTTATTTAAGATGGAGAAAAAGGTTATCATGTTACAAAGGAAAATTAAGTAGTTGTCTTTTCCCATCAGCTGATATCTAAAGCAGAGGAAATGAATAAGCTCAGCAGTCAGCCACTGTGGTGCTTTTTGCTTCTTATTTGTCCTCAGATGTGCTGACTGCCACCTGAAAGATTGGATCTGTGTCTGCTCGTATCAGGTTGTGCCAAATGCATCCGCAGCAGCGCAGAGAAAGTGGCTGGTTGCCTCTTACTGATTACTGACCGCACTAAAACGGACTGTTATGTACGGACACAGCAGACCATGCATGTTTTTAGTTGGTCTGCATTTTCAAATTTGAGGAGGTTCATTTTAGAGGTTGATCTGCATCTCTTCATTGTACATAAATTTATTTATTTATTTATTTATTATATATTTATTTTAATCAATTTGTGTCTTATGTGATTTATTTATCAAAGTGACATTTTTCAAAGGGTTTTATTCTATGGAACTTCACATTTGAGCCTGAATAAGCTAATGCATTCATTGTTGGTTTTGTACTTTTAGTTTTCACATTTTAAATGATTTTCTAACATTTGAGACCCCGTAGTGAAACAATCTACATCTTACACATTTAACAGCACTCTTTTAGACACCAGTGACCGTTAACATCGTAAATGCCTTTTAAGTCTTCATCATCTGCAAGAATATATTTTCCTCTGTGCAAGTGCGTATCAAATTCTTCATCACTGTTTCATTATTGAGAACAAGGAAACAAACAGTGGTGAAAAGTTATATTTGCTGTCATTTTTCAGAATGTGGCAGCGAAACACAGAGTATTATATACAAAGAAGAATTTCAAGGACTGACCTCTGTCATGGCTAATAGTGTTTACAATGTCTACTAAGATCTGTTTTGATGACATGGAAGATAAGGTTGTATTGAAGTTTATTACTGGCAAAACAATCCAAACAAACTGAAACAGGTTCTGAGTATTATCCAGTCAGCTAGCTTTAGCACTAGCTCTGTGGTCACTAGCTTTGGTTTGGGTAAGCTCACGCCTTTATTGGAACTTTATGGTGACACATACAAGACAACCTTAGGATGGCAAGTTTAAATGTGCAGACATGCATTTGTATGTTTTCATTATTAAAAAAGATATTGACTTTACTCGTAAAGACCCTTCGTTACCAGTGCAACTGTTCACTCATGGATAACTGGTTTTGTCCTGAAGCCAAGAGTTTCATCGTTTTTCGCTCTGGAATTAATATTTATTGGCTGCAGCTGATAAAACCAAAGTTCCTGTTTAGTAGAAACAGTACCGAAAACATTCAGAAAGATTTTTTTTTTGTATTTATCAAACGTTGTTTTTAATAACTGAATGAAAAGTGTCATATCAACATGCAGAATAATTGGCCACTACTTAATCGTCCATTCCACATGTGCTCCGCCCAAGCAATTCTGCTCTTGCACTCTTAAACCGCTCACAATTTAATAACTGATCCGACCAATACAATGCGTATTGTGCTCTTTCAGTATTTTAGCTTTTATTGAGCTTCCAAAAGGATCAAATGTAAGTTTACATATCATGAACTGTGATGTGCACAGTCATGCATTTCTCAGCCACAAACAACTAACACCAAACCTGTCTAAGGTACAGTATAATCTAAGATACATTTTCTAAGATAAACAATTCTTGTTATTTCTATTGCTGTCTACAGTCTTTGGTCTACATCTGTCACCATTTTGTTACAACTCTTGTACAGCACAACTTTAAGTAAGCAGTTAAATAAATACTGACAGTTTACTGATAATGTTGAAATTGTCCGAATCCGTGTGCTCATTCAGTTTCAGTGTGTTCATCCCACTGGTGCCTGTAATGACCAGACTTTGATCTGAGAGCATCTTTGCACTGAAGATCAATGGCTTTTGTGTTTTGGTGGTCACAAAAAGGATTCACTATACCAACATCACACCAACATGTCTTTTGACAAGTGGCACATCAAGGTGTGGTCCGCAAGTGGCTTGGATTCATGGTAAGAATAGAAAAGAATTAATCATTTGTAAAGCTGTGCATATGTCAGTATTTCAGTGGCAGGTGAAATGATGCCAGGAACAATGGATGTGGTCAAATATGTATTATTAGTTGCAGTCCGAAAGCAAATAAAGATCAATGTTTAAAGTATGGGGTGGACTAAATATCAAAAACCATATATGGTACACATCTACTGACAACATGTATCATTTGACCATACATTCAAGCAGTGTAAAAGGTTTTCTGGAGTTCTCAACCTTATTAGCTTGCACAGTTGTCATCACATGACCTAGGTATGGAAAAAGACTCGGCAGAAGATCACAGTGAATCGGACGATGGTGGTGAGCTGCCCTCTAGACTCCTGTGAAGTAACTAAGATTGGTAATTCAAAAGGGATCAGCAGAAACATTCCAGTTAAAGTCCCCTAAGTGGCTGGACTGAATTCAGTTCTCCTGCACAAGAGGACAAGCAACACACCGTTCCAGCAGCCAAACCTCCGCACATTTGCTGAAGGACTACTTTGGTAATTTGAGAGATGTAGACAGGAGCTATTAAATGGACCTTCAAAAAAGTTGTTTTGTAAAGTAAAATGTCCAAGGTCAAGTATGCCACTTTCTTATGTGTCATCTTTAGAAGGCTCTGGCAGTCATTGTGTTTTCAGGGTAACTCAAGAGGATAACAGTTTCTGTTTTTTAAAAATTTTAATACAAGACATCTCTGGATTTACTTGGTTGTAAATTTGGATCAGACCAAATGTCCACACTGACATTCAATTCAATTAAATTTTATGTGTATAGCGCCAAATCATGATAAACATTATCTCAAGGCACTTTACATAGAATGTCAAAACCTCTATCAGACAACATCTATGTTTATATATAAAAAACATGTTTATGCCTTTTATGTATCTATATGTCTATTATATTCCTGGCTCTACGTTTGAAGCTGTGCCATTGGTAAGAGCCATCTTTGATTTTGCAAATCACACCATACATGACCAAAAATTACCACGACAATTCTCATATCACCTCATTTTGTTCTCAGCTAAGATGAGAAAATGTGACTGTTACCAATGTGGACCATAGTTTGAAACTATAGAAACTAACACCAACAGAGGATATTCAAGGTTACAGGTGGTTCAAAAGAACCAGAGACTGTCTACACAGCTGCTTTGCACCTCATCCCTTAATCCACACCAAAATGGTGATAAAGCATCATGTTTTAGCGCCATCAGGGTTTAATAAGTACTGTAGTAAAAACTGTCGATCATTCCATAAGTATTGAAACTCAGAGGATTTGCAATGGGGCTTTTTTAAATAAATATTTGTATTCATCTGCTTTTAACACAGCCAGTCAATAAGCAAGTCTCTTGATGTGCTTAACCTATAGATCTAGCATAGCTCTTTTTTAGGAGTTTGTTGCTCTTTCTATCGAACTTGACTTCCTAACCATTCTTAAGGAAGCTGTTCTGAGAGAATTTACCTAAAGACAAATTAGTTTAGTAGTTCTCAAGAATCCATAGAGGCAAGTGGGCTGTGCCTTTTTGGAAGAGAGGAACTATAGTCTTAATAGATGCTTGTCGTCCAATAAGCTTGTGCCTGACAGTGCTTATACAACACCTGGGGCATTTATTAAATACTTGGTGTTGTGTATTAGTAAGTTTAATATAGGTGCAACATGCCCAGTGGCATTCAGTGGCATTCATTAATGAGGGAGTTTTTCCTCTCCACAGTCGCCTGTGCTTGCTCATTGTGGGAACTGTTGGGTTTCTCTATGTTAATATTGTTTTAAGGTCTTGACCTTTAAATGTAAAGTGCCTTGAGATAATGTAAATTATGAATTGGCGCTATATAAATAAAATTGAATTGAATTGAATTCTCAACAGGCTGCTAGGTGTGTATAACTACAGCCTTGCAAAAAGGCATAGTCCATTGGCCTCTATGTAGACCCAGACTGCACAATCTGCACAGTCGGAATGCGAGTTAATTCAGAAAAGCTTTCTACCAGAAAAGCTTGAGGAAGTCATGCGATGTAATAGAGCTAAAGAGTTGACAAAGAGATTATACTAGATAAATGAGTCCAGCATAGGACTCCTAAGTGAGGCTATTGTTTTTTATGATGTATTTATTTGGGCCTATATATATTTGAGTGACTTGTTATAGTGTTCCATGCAATGACTTGTGGTCATTAGATGCCCCCTAATGGTTCTTTTGACATATTGCACTAACTTTTGTAAGACCATGTGGAGAACTGAAGAACATTGATTGAAATATAACTGTTTTACTGTAAATGTAACACAGTGTTTTAAAGAGAGCACCTTGCATAATAAAAATAGGAATGACAGAAAGACAAGTTTATATAACAATGTGAGGTTTGTCAATAGAATAAAACTAAGGGCGCTGATACAGGGAAGTCAGTGTTAAAGGCCTTGGTTACTTACATGAGATTACCAAAAGTATAAATTGCAGTCTTACAGTTAGTAAGAGTGTTTACAATCTTTGCCAAGAATTTTTTCTGGACATGTTCGGTACAGTCGGACAGTGTTTATTGTAGCTCTTACAAACAGTTCAGTCTCAACAAAAGGCAAATACTAGAGCACCTTTCCTCATCCACACAACGTGTTTTCACTTTGTCACTCATTTTTATCAATGACTGGAAAACTGCTCTTTATGTTTCTAGGTTGTCCAGGACACTGGGGAACCCTGTAGCCATGTATGCCATGGATGCCATGGAAGCATGTACATATGCACAGAAAATATATCACTATATACATTACATATAATATGTATATGTTTTGTTATTTTTCAGATAGACCTTGTTTGTTGTTGTTTAATCATTTGTTTAAGGTTTCAGAAACGTATGACTCATGTTTGTTTACAGCAGACTACCCATACTCTAAACCAGAAGACAATAAATAACCAACTGACAGATGGACCAAGGTGTTTTTAACTGGCACAGCTCTTCTAGCCTTTACAGCACTGGGACAGATTTTATTTTTCCAATTTATTTGCCAGTGTACAAAACATACAGAAATGTTAAATGTGAATCAAATTAAATTAACTAGCAGTCAAATTTTAAAAAAATAGATAAGTGTACATTAATGTGATGAATTGTGCTTTATCTTTGCAGATCCAGGATCACAGCCCCGTCCACAGCGTAGATCATTAATCGTGGTGGCAGCTGATCATGGATTATGATTTCAACTGCACTGTTTAGATATACAATATGTTTGCTGCTCCCTGCATCTCTGTCATTCTTTTTTTATAAATACATTGATACACCCTTTCTTTCATGCTAGACACTCTTTTCTCATTTATCTTGTAAATATTGTTATTTTGTCATTGCAATTCTGTCCATCCTGAGAGAGGGATCCCTCACATGTGGCTCTTTCTGAGGTTTCCATGTTCTCTTTTCCCCTGTTAAAAGGTTATTTTGGCAGTTTTGGCAGTTTGTTGAGTTAAAGCCCCATGAGGCAAATTGTGATTGGTGAATATGGACTATACGAATACAATTTGAATAAAAAGCTACAAGAAGCCTTTAATCTCATGGAACCTAAGCTGCAGGAGCACGGATATGGGAGCAAGAAGTCATATCTGTAAAAAACAGCACTTACAAAGTTATCCTGAGGGAGCAGTCAGTTCCCGAGCCAGTCCTGCATGTTGTTCTTCAGGAGTATGAGGGAATCCTTTACACTAATGTGTGTCAATAGACATTGCATATCTGTGTTATTAAAACCACCAGACTACTACTCATGTCAAGATTGGTTGCTTCCTCAAGCCATCTGTGATTCACAAAATCCTCTGGGACGGATGCAGTGACTGCCTTCTTTCAACATGACACAAACATTACGTCTGCCAAGCTTTCCATGTGAACACAAATGTCACATCAGATGTTTGGGGGCAGCTGTGTCGGAAAGCCCAGCAGTGACCCTTGGTGGACAAAATCAAGTAACACATTTAGAGTGCCTCACTTCAGTCACCGCTACTAACACCCTTTTCACGCATGGCGTCCAGAGGATGGTCAGAGAAATGGGTCTGGACTTCCTTTCACAAATGCACAATGCAGCAGGAGATTCTTTTCACATCAACACTGGTGTTGGACCCTAACGCCAAAAGCTCTCTTGACATCTTCGCCGTCGTCTTTCACGGGTTAGAAATGACGACAAGGGGATGTCCCCATGTGGGTTAATGTGACGTTGTGTGTAGATTCAACTGTGTAGGCAACAATTTCCCTTCTCTGGAACCACTAACCAGACTCAATCTTCCTAGTGGCTGCCTCAACCAGCATGATGTCAAGCGTAAAAGTCAATTCCTCTGCAAAGCATCTTATTATGTGTTACATTGGCTTCATTATACCCTCAGACAGTGGGAAACCAACCCACTATCTATGATTAAAAAAACAAACTAGACTCTGGTTTTTCTGTGTAAGGCAGTTCGTGCTAATTTTGATAAAACACAAGCCTTTTTTTGTGACATTTTATGGGCCACAAACAAAGCAATAATGCAGCAGCTTCTTTTTTGATATCATTAAATATTGTGTTGAAAAATTTAGCAATTAATCAAATAGCAAAGTCAAAACCAGCAACACTTGCAGAGTGTAAAGTTTTACTATGAAAAAACAATTTTATTATGATAACATGCAGTGATGTAGCGCTCTGCAGAGATGGACTCAAGGGAAGTATCTGTGGTTGGTGTGTCGGCTTATTACAATGACTACACAGGACTGAGAAAGTTGAAAGCATTTAAATGTAAGCTGTTGACACAGAGGTTAGAGAAGAGCTGGGAGGTAAGAACACTAACACTCAACGTGATCTGTAGAGGGTTTCACTGTAGATGACAGGTTACTGCAGAGAACAACTGACATTTTGGATGCCAGCTAGTTGAGCTAATGTCAGATGGGTCCAAACGTACAACTACATTTCTCACTAGAGCAATGGCATGTTTAATGGATGGATGGATACATAGCTTTTAATGCAGCATGGGGTATTGTATCTAGGGGCACACCGCCCAGCAGCACTTTTAAGCCAATTAAATCACATTTAACTTTTCAACATATCAACAACCTCTGAAAATAAGAGTGTTTATTCCTGTTGTGAATGGCCACACTCGACGGCGAGGCGAAATGTCTGCCATCGCAGAAGAAGAATTTTACATTAGTCAATAGATCTCTATCCGTCATAATGGCAATTAGCCATCAGAGCTTGTCGATGGTCTGGCTCAGTGAATTTGAAGTTGATTATAGTCATTTAAAGTCAGTGTCCACAGGTTCAGCTTTTATATTGAGCACATGACTTGTGCTACAGATCACTGGATTTGCATATTTACTCTTAAATAACTAGGTTAAAGTCAACTTCACATAGCAAGCAGGTGTTTAATTGTTTCTGTAATTCCCTGATTAACTGACTGGATGTCAAGCCATTGGAAAATAATTGAATACAAGTTATATAAGATATAAATCATATCACTTCCACAATAGAAAAAATATCTACCTATTTCACTTTTGTGGCTGATCGGTGTATAATCAAAACCAGTTTCCTGAGAGTGTGCATGTGTTTGACAAAGACTGAAGATTTGAAAAATAACAAAGAGTGGAGCACGTGGATGAGAAATAATTACAGTTGTGTCCTTATATTTGGCCTGCCCAAAGTCAGACAAAAACTCAAACTAACCCAAAGTGGCCTCCTGCACATGTCTGAATAAGTTGGTTGGAGTAGAAGTTAAATTCTGACACTTGGTGCAGTGAATAGGAGCTCTGTCAGCGGGTCATTCTTATAAACTTAAGAAGAAAACTAGCAACTGCTTTGCTGCATGTAAATGCAGTAAACACCTGGTTACTCTGAGCAACCTGGTCTCTTGTGAGACTTGGTCTGGAAGTTTATGTTGTGCATCTCAGAATAAAACACCATGTGCACACTTCCTCCACTGGGCGGAGTATCGAACAAGATTAAAAACTGATGACATAAAGACTTGCTTTATTCTAGCTGTGTTACAAATGTTACAAAACATTTTGGAGTTCAGTTTAGCTTAAAAATGAGTTAGAGGATAACAACTTCAATCATGCTGTTGTTTTGGCACTTTAATAGGGAATACATGTTTAAAAAAAGTATCTTAGACTCAAGTGTGGTCCTAAAATATTCAACACATAAACAGCATATTAAGTTTTATCCATGCAAATCTGGACATAGAACCCTGACTGGAAAAAGAAGCTAGCAAAAGTCAAAACTCAGAATGATGAATTATGACATGTCCTCCAAAATCCTACAGTCTAAATCATTTTGTTTATAAGTTCTACAGTCAGATATATAATTAATGAAGCTCACAATTATAAAAGGCAGCAATCTTTTCATAGAAGTAACTTAAACCAGGTGCACACCATCCACTTGTCCACAGCATGTGGGTTGACTTGATACTCACAAGGTTAGAGTATTTCAATTCAAGAGTACATTAAGGAATATGTTAAGTCAAAATAAAGAGGGCAGCATTGGCAACTGAACAGGTTCCTATTCTTAAATTGACAGTTTTATTGGGGGGGGGGGGGTTACCAGTTCTACATGCTATAACTATGTGTATGTTGCTTGGTGTTCATTGTTACCTTAATTATCAAATGAATTTAAAACCTGCCCTTGAGCAACAACATGATGGGTTTCTCCTTCAGGTCACATTTAAACCAACCAAGACAGAATGAAACACTGCATTAGTCATGTGAGCGAACACCTGTACAAAGTGTGAGTGAACACCTGTACATTCTGCCCACATGACAGCTGAACATGAGCATTAATCTCGTACTGTAACAGCCTCCCCTCATCTACTTCCAGTCCTTTCAACAGATACTGAAACATGGCTGCAGCATTCGACCGTAGAGAGTCCGTCCAAATGTAATACAACTGGCAGGTTTATATCTATGTTTCCTCTTATTGTGCCATCTTGTTCTGCCTGCTCTCCCTCACCCTGTCTCCATCCTTCCAGGAAATACTGTACATTTGAGCGCACATTGAAAAATATAATCATATTTGTTTTTGTCTTGTGTAATAGAATTTCTCATTCAGAAACAATGAACAAGTTGGTCCCATAATGAAAAAGGGAAAACATATTTAAGAAAAAAAAACGACATTTCTCCATCTCATTTTTTATGCGGTGAAAATCCCCCCCCCCCTCCATCTGTCATTCTGATTGGACGTGGAGCATCAGCAGAGACGGCAGAGAGATTACAGGTGACTCTCTGATTCACATTTGTCTGCAGTTCCATTCTCCAGCGGCCTGGTGGACAGTCCCATTTCACTGAGCTTCATGTTGCTCTCATTGAGCCGTCGTACACGGTAGGTCTCATAGTGGATGTTGTGCGTCACCTCTTTCAGGTCCTGCAGATGAGACCTTTACAAAAACACAGAAACAGAAAGATTAACGGCATCATATTGTTATTTCTGCTCTCTCTCGTATAAACTGGTTCAGACCTTTAGTATATTCAATTCAAGACGGTTCCTGTCGACCAAGTGGCTAGTAGGTCTTTCTTGAGGACGTCAATATGACAACAATCACAAGTGATAACTGATATATATGATTTAGATTCATTTGCAACAGTTTACAGTTTTTACAATATTTAAAGTTTGGGATGTTCATAAAATCAATACATTTCGAGTTTTTTTTAGAATCAAATATTTTTTTGAAAGGTAATTTTGAAAATAATATCTTTACTCTTCATTACTCCCTCCATTTTACATCTTTAACAACACTGACTGTGTCTTGGGTGAGCTACAATCAATATGTGCGTGGATGCATCCTGCATGGACAGTGTTACTTTTGTCTGTCTGTCTCTATACCGGACAATGTGTTCTCTCCTTACATGTCATAGAGAGGATGAATAACAATAATAATAATGCTACATTTTATTTATTCAGCACCTTTTATACATAAATGCAGCTCAAAGTGCTTTACAATAAAATCAAAAACATGAAATAAGATAGATCAACAAGAATATGTTAGCAATAAAACAAAGACTAGAGGATAAAAAACATAAAACTAGCAAAATGGATCAAAATAGGTCAAATAAATGAATAAATAAAATAAATAGACAATAAAATATAAATTAATTTAAAGCAAGATCATAGAAATAGGTCTTAAATTGTTTTTAATAAGTATTAACAGAAGTAGTTTGACTGATGTGTGGTTGGAGTTTGTTCTAAACCTTTGGTGCATAGCAAGAGAACTTTATGAAGTGCGCTTTTGGGACATTTAGCAAGCCCTCATAGAAGATCTTAGGGAACGGTTAGCAACATACTCCGATGAACAGTCAGAGATGTATGTGGGTGCTGTACCATTAGGAGACTTAAAAACAGGTAAAATCATTTTTAAATCAACCCAGTGTAAAGACACTTAAAACTTACACTTAATGTGATCTCTTTTCTTATTTCTCATTAAAACCCTAGCTGCTGAATTTTGTACAAGCTGGAGTTGATAAATGGATTTTATCGGTAATCCTGAATATAGTGCGTTACAGTAGTCCAGGCGAGAAAGTTTAAACTTTTTGGCATCTTCCAGAGTGAGGTACGGTCTTAGTCTTGCAATGTTTCTTGATAAAAGGCAATCTTTGTGAAATGTTTTCTTTACTTTTGATGTGTTTTGAAGACATGATTTTGCCTAATATGGGTATAATGCTAAAGGGACTGTATTTTATATAGCACTTCTCTAATCTTATTAGCTACTCAAAGTGCTTTCTTATACAAGCCACATTCACCAATACACACACACACATTCATAAAGCGCAACTATACGCTGCACTTTTTCAATTTAAAAAAAAAAAACATTCAGACACTGCTGGCAGAGCCGTCAGGGGATATTCGGGGTTCAGTATCCTGCCCACACTTTGGCATGCAGACCGGCGGAGCCAACTGGCCATAACAGCACAGATTGTACAGACAGTCTCTGCTAGAAGACATTCACAGTGCTTCACTTGGTTGTTCTTATAAAAATAGTAGTGTGAGGAGGAAAAGAAGAAAGCTAGAGTGAGTTTTCTTGGTATCTGGAGCTGGCCAATCTTAGTGCACAGTGGATGCTGATAGCAGAGGCAGGGTTACCCACTCTCACATTTGAGATACAGATTTCTCTATCCTAATGCCCTTCTGCTGCTGTAATGCTGACATTTCCCCAGTGTGGGATGAATAAAGTCGATCTTATCTTATCTTATCTTATGAGAGAGATGAGATACCTGCTTCCAGGCTAGGTCTGTCTATCTCACGCTACCTGATCAAAGACTCATCCCTGTAATCTGCTTGCCCCCCCATCTGTCGGGTAACCTGTTGAGATTCTTCTAAATTCGATTCAACTCTTTGAAACTCTCCCTGCCTCTGTCTCTATGTTCTACTTCTGGAGTCCGGTCGTTTTCCTTGAACCATAACATACAGTGATTATTAAAGATAAATGACCTATATGCTGAGTTTGGCATCATTTGATTTTCTCCTCAGATTCACACATTTATTTAGCTACAAATTTGAATGTGCCTACATCACAGTCTGGGACAGGTCAGATAAATGATGCTCACTGATTTTTTTTCCCGTGTGCCACAAAATAAAATCCTGCTTTTGTCAGAATATTGACGGAGCTGAAGATTTGTTTCATGTTTACAGCTGTGTGTAGGATTATTTCCTCTGAGGTCATTCAAAACCTGTAGTTGTCACGTTAAGAATAATTATGTGTCAACTACTATTATAACTATTATTTAGAATTATTAATAATCTTCAATATGACACAAATGGTCAGGATGTAAAGGCTAATGACTGTGTTCACTTCAGACAGGGCATACTGTCACACATTTGAAACTACAGCTGATCCTTAGGGTGCGCTGTGGGCTCAGTCAGAGCTCTGGGAATATTTTTCTTTTAGGTGAGGTTCATTGTTTTAGCTTTCACTTTTGCTGATCAACTTTGGATTCTCTTTGTATTTGAAGTACAGTAACACTGAAAACACTTACTGTACAAGAGGATACACCAGTCAATTAAATATCAGTGCACATGTACACGATTATCAATTTTAAGGACATTTTCAATTAATCTCATTAAATATGTTATCATCAACACAAGCAGAATATTTTGGTGAGTGATATTGATTTGGGGTGTTACTGTGTTGTGGGATTTATTTCACCTCCAGAACACTGTAACCTCTCTTCCTTCAGACCACTTCAGGGTCAGTTTACCTACATTACTACTCAAGTTACTTATTTCTCAACAATCTCAGGTGGATCCATGTTATAATGATACTTGAACTTGATACTTAATCCAACTGATTAAGATTTTAAGGTACCCGGTGCAGCACTTTGGCCGCCTAAGCATGTCTTCAGTTGCTGTCTGTCACATGACCCTCATCTACAACACCGTAGTGATCCCCTCACATCTCCAGTGACTTTCATATCCCCTCTGTTTAATTCTAGATGTTGGGCAGGGACATAACTTAAGTTGTGTACCTTAGCATCATCAGGTGTTTTGGCCTTGATACTTGAACTTGAGGGTACAAAGGCGAAAGGTAAATCTGACAGTCAATCAGACCTCATTACCTCTTTGCCTTTTTAAACTGAACACCTACTGTTATAGGCAGCAGAGTCAAAAGCTGTCCAATTTAATAATATAGGACAAGATGGAAGATATCCCACCAGTTGATGTTGGTGAACACTTCAGTGAAGAATCCAGTGTTGCAGTATTGCATGCTCACCTGATCAGTAGATCTCTCAGGTTGGCAAACTCGCAGTGTGCAACATTCTCAACTGTGGAAAGAAAAAAAAAGATTCGTTCGTGGGAGTTTTCTGGAAGCTGGTGAAAGGAGAGCTCAGGCTGCAGCTGATGTTCATGTACAAGATTTGAATGTAGACTTGATGCATCAAGGAGACCAGAAGATTGAACAATATACAAACACTAACAGAGTAACATGAGCAACTGTCAACCCCCAAGTGCGCAGATATATACATATATCTTCCTCTACTTGATTCAGCCATTCTGACAGCACATCCATGAATGGCTAGAATTGCTGTCACTCCCTATGTTACACGTAGGTGTTTGCATCCTGTTGGATAGTTAAGCCTAAAGCATTCATTCTCTGGTGTAATATAAGAGTTGAAGTTGGTGCCTCTCTGTCTGGAGCATCTGAACAAGATATGACAGTCCCTAAGCGTAGACACTACAATGTTCTGTTAGTTATGTTCTTCATCTGTAACCTGACCTTAGGCACTGGTTAAGAGAGAAGGGACCATGTGTAGAATGAGACATGCACTATTCTCCTCATGGTATTGTGCAGATGTAATGTGTGAGGATGGGCAAACATTCCTCAACAATTAGAATGACAATAACTGGATGTTGTGTTGGACCAACCAGTTTTACAGATTCATTTTTCTGTACATGCTCTATTTCATTAAAGGTGCAGTATGTAGAATTTAGTGATATCTAGTGTTGAAGTGTCATGTTGCAGCTGAACACCCCTCACCTCACCCTCTCCTTCCAAACATGAAAATAACCTGTGGTAGCTTCAGTTGTTATAAAAACTCAAAAGGTGTTAAGTTTGTTCAGTCTGGACTAATGTAAAAAACATGGCGTCCTCCGTAGAGAGGGTCCGCTCGTTGTAAATATAAAGTATTTAAATATAAAGGGTCTTTTCTGGGGTAAAGAAAACTACAATTCATACAATTTAGATGAAACGAACTAGTGAAAACATCACGAGGATTATTTTATATTCAATTTCTGCCAATAGTTCCCTTTCATATATCATATATGGTTTTAAAACCTAGGCTATTTTAAATCAAAAATGATCGACCACTGTTCCAAAATGTCCCTCATTATAAATGAACATTTCAGTCAGACTGAGTTTATCACACATTAACTATTTCTCTCATCTCCTCTCTAGCTCAGTAGTAGTGCAACATCACCTTAATGTTTCTATCTGCGTCACATATTCAAGTCTTTATCAGACAAAAACAAAAATAACTAGAAACAAACTTACTAAACCTCCCCTTCTTATTAAGGTATATGCTTAGCCTAAGTGGATTTGAATTATTTCAACTGTTTCTTTTCTAGTTATGTGATCATCATTTACAGTTCACTTGTCGAATGTCACTTCTGTCTGTCGCTAAAACAGATTCAACGGACAGATTCTTCTCACAAATAACAACTATGTCTTTTCCACATAAAAGTGATTGTAGCTGAATAAGAAAACCAAGAGTTAACTGAGACAGTTAATAACCAGCTGCGTAGTACAGTTTATCCATGACAGCCGACGTTTCGCTCAGTGAAGTCAAATAACAGAAACCTACCCTGGGTATGTTGGTCTTACTTTGTGGTAAAGACCATTTGAGTCAGGGGCTGTGTGGCAGTAAAACAAGACACCCTTTAGTAGCTTCTGACTAGAATTACTGGCTGAGTGTGTTGCTTTCCATTCAGTGATCATGCTTTTTTTTCAGTTTAACATAACATATTTAATAAATGATTTAACACAGCTCTTGTCATTAACCTGTATTTTTGTAAATTTGTAAAACAATATCTCGACCGTGCAAAAGAGATCAGAGGTTTGTTTGCTTGTTGCATTTTGATTCACTGTCGTTCAATTTAGCTAACCGGGTTTCTTCACATGATGTGTAAAGGTGTAAATGAGGTGCAGCAGCCCGGAGGTGTCCCCACTGTGAAATCTTTTCCTCCTGTTCCAACTACAACCATCAATCACTCATTAATGTCTTTCCAAATGCACACCATGTGTTCATTTATGTGTGCAAGTCTTGTAACGGAGATTTGTCATTACAGATGTGTCACTGTCTCTTAGATGTCCCTGTGATGGAGTGGTTTCCAAATGAAAAGTTTGAAGAAGAAATTTGACTTCATGTTGCTGAGGTGCATCAAGCTCTGTACTAAAACAATATGGAAACACCGGTGGATGCAATTGTTCTCACAATGTATTCTTTGCTTTACCACATATTGTTGCTCAGGTTAGAGGGACTGACACAGACAAACATGCCACTGTGATGGACATGATGGCAGGTAAACATAACCGTGGCAGATATACTGTTTATACAATAGCTGCTGCCTACAAAGTGGTGATTGTCATTCCTGTGACAGTCCAGAAACTGGATGTCTGACTCTAGTGATAAGTGAGGGTTCTGCCATGGGAGAAATTATAGTTCAAGTAATAGTTCAAGACGTGACGATGTCTTCCAGAGTCCGTAAATTATGCCTTGTGTGTCACAGAGGAAGTTTCAGGTTGTACCGGAGCAGCTGATGTACTCTCGGAAGCTTCAACTCTACCTACTCACGTGCTTTGGCAAAATTCAGGTCACATCTGTATACAGTGGCAACAAGTTCCTACATAAATTGAGGTTTTACTGATGTGAAAGGGAAGCCTCACCTTCAATGATTCCCCACTTTGTTTTACGGCCCAGCACCTTGTTTCCATTCACCTGGTGCTCCTTGTCGGTTCCCACCACAGCAAAGGGAATGCTTTCCTGGACACACAAAACAAGAAAGTCCAACTCAGGCCTGCTTGACACCTGATTCATTCATTCTAACACGAGGAAGCCAAAATCGCTGCACTGTAAGAGCAATAAGCTGTTTGTAAGCGTTAAGCTTTATGTAAAATGTAACAGTGGCAGACGACACAAACAGGAAGATTACACGTGATTTCCTGTTTATTTCATGCATGTCCACCAAAAATCAGCAGGCTGTGGTTACAATGTAATCATTACATAAGCTAAAACAATCGTATTAGAATTGTAATTGGATTGTGTTTCATACAGTCAATCTCTAGGTAAATAACAGAAGTAATTCTTAAACAGACTAAATAAAAGGTGTAGTGACGTTACCCTGATCCTGTCGTTGATAATGTGCTCCTCTAGATCTTCATCGAACTCTTTTTGAGGGTACACATGAATCCCATTGGCTACCAAGTCTTGCCTTATCTGTACAAAAGGTCAAAGGTTGAACACAGGTTAAATAGGTCAGGTCAGGTTAACACTGACAGCAATGGGCAAGCAGCATACTGACAATATGTTCCATTGGTGATGAACAGTTCTTGAGTTATGCAAGCCACAGAGAGACAGACAGACAACCATTTATGACAAGTCCACACTGCTGACAGACTCACAATTATATGGGCATATTACCGGTTCATTATTTATTTCTATTATGACAGTGCAAAGTTAAATTTAAAAACTATGTCTCTGGCTGAAAATGTGATGTTCTGTGTAAATCATGTCGTCCCTGCTCAGCAGAATCCAGTCAAGAGTACGATTTCATAATCACCACATTATCCAATTTGTCTTCAACTTCCATGATATCAAGAGACATTTTCCTCAGAACAATGAAGTCTATCTTTTTTAAACTGTTTAAATGTTTTAATGTGTCTGTGTACGTGTCTTCCCTCACCCTCTCTTTGAACTCCTGTCTTTCCTCAATGGTGAGCGTGTCAGCTTTGGCAATGACGGGTACGATGCTCACTATCTTCCCCAACCTTTTCATGAATTCAACGTCAATAGGGCGTAACCTGGAAACAGACACATTTCTGATCAGTTTGGACAACAGTGAATATCTGTGTAACATACATGTAACGCTGTGGATAAACAGCCAACACTTAGACATTAGGAGATTACGTATGCTACATTGTTGGTTTTGGCTTTTTCATGGGATTTGTTGACAATAATTAGAAGAATAACATTTGAAGGGCACTCAGAGACCACATAACTCCCCCAGGGTCCAACGAAGTCCTAATGAAACCACATTTAAATTCACTACATGCGACATTGGCTCTGCAACTAAATGCACACATTCATGAATATCAGTCCACGAAACATGTCTGATTTTTTCCCCATCAAGATTGATTTCTTATTCTCTGAGAAATCAATGAAAGTGTAGAAAAACACCCTTCATGACAATGTGAAAAAATGTGAAAAAAGATTTCTGCCCCCTGATCTGGATTGACATCAGAATTCTATGGATTATTTCCTGACTGATACCACATCCCTTCACCGGGCTTCTTGGAAATCAAACATAGTTTTTTTTGTCATCCTGTTAACAAGAGACAGACTAACAAAACAAGAACATAACCTCTGATGAAAATATGACTGTGCAGGTGAAGGGGCTGGGAGAGCACCGTCACCTGCACCACAGAGGATCAGTCAGCGCAGGTGAGAGCTGTTAGCTGAGTGATCCTCATGCTTGAAAAGGCAGCAGCAGAGCTGCCTCAGGGGAACACACTGGGGAAGAGACTGGGCGAAGCTAGAGGTCCAGCAGAAAGTGCTGGACCCTTTAAGTTGAGTGTTTGTGTGAGTTTCTGTTTTATATTAATAAAGATGTTGCTGAGCTCTGAATGGTGTGACTGGTTCGTCTCTGCGTGTCGTGGTGGTCGACTGCCACACTGGCACCCGAACAGGGACCTCACACAGCCAGAGACCCATCGGCTTCACCGCCGATCGGGGACCCGTGCTCCCCGCCCTCTTCGCCCTCTCCAGCTCGGTGCCGCAGGTGAGACGCCCAAGCCTCATCCTCTCCGTCTGCCTCTGGAGCTCCTCCATCTGCCTTCCGCCCTCCGCCGTCTGATCTTCGCACGGGCGCAGAAGTTCTTCATCCGTCCACTTCCCGAACGGTGTTAACCAGTCCAGGTCTCTGCCTGTCGTGGTGGGAACCCTGTGGCATGGTCGACTGCCACACTGGCGCCTGAACAGGGACCTCACACAGCCAGAGAAGTGTGGCAGTCGACCATGCTACGGGGTTCCCAACACGACAGCCAGAGACGAACCAGTCAAACCACTCGGGGCTCAGCAACATCTTTATTTTAAACGTTCACAAAACTCACACAAACACTCAACTTAAAGGGTCCAGCACTTTCTGCTGGACCTCTAGCTTCACCCAGTCTCTTCCCCAGTGTGTTCCCCTGAGGCAGCTCTGCTGCTGCCTTTTCAAGCATGAGGATCACTCAGCTAACAGCTCTCACCTGCGCTGACTGATCCTCTGTGGTGCAGGTGAAGGTGCTCTCCCAGCCCCTTCACCTCTGCAATGACCCTGGTCCTTCTACTTGATGGATGATCCAGCCTAGGATTTTACAGCGGTTGTATTTGAAAATTATAAAAAATTATATCCATTCTGCATACCGTAATGCCATCTACTTAGATTAATGCAGTGTCCCAAGTAGTAGTAGTAGTAGTAGGACCTAAGTGCCCTCCAAGAATTCATTCTGAAACCTAATCATTGTCAGAAAACAACCAGCGAAAACCATTCGGATCTCTGAAAAAACATTCTGTCTGCCGTCAACGTTATTTAGCTTTTTGTTAAGACAGCTTAGCTATCAGCAGTACAGCCTCCTTGAAAACATAAATGAAGCAGAGATTGTTTACCATAACCTGCTATCTAAAAACACTGACTGATCAAGTTACATGAAGAACAGCTGTATTATTTGATTGGTTAACTCAGTTAAATACAGCAAATTGTCCTTTTCTTTTAATTCGTTAATATTTTACAGTGTACGCCACCATGGGTGCTGCTGATTTCCCCATGAAGTTGATGGATTTGCCTCAAGTTCAAAAGAGGAATTCTGACTCTGAGAGGCCAGCTCTAAAGACAAAGGCACACAGACACTGCACCTACTTGGCACCTGCACACTGCGATCTAATTCAACACGGTTTCTGAGTGAAAGGTGCAACAAGTCTTTTACAGAAGAACAAAAATGGAGGGGAACAGTTGTGTTCGTGCAGAAATGTGATTCTGCATCCAGCAATAAGGAGTACCGACCTGTGTCCAGTGGCAGGGAGGAAGTAGATGCAGCAGTGGACTCTGCTGTCAGGTATTCTCCTCTTGCGGTTCACATGCAGCTCTTCCCTTAGGTATTTCTCATACTGCTCATTGACGTACTTCACTATGGGCTCCCAGCTGAGGAGAGGAGTGGAGGAGAAGAGTCAGTGAGAGGCTGGATTATTCTGTTCTTTTCAAGAGGCATAGGGTTGGAAGTCCAGACAGTATAGACATCATTAAGGCAGCGACAAGACTTAAGGTAATTTGAGATATTTCCATCCAAATTAGGAGACAACATGTTTTGTACACTATTATCCAGAGCAGGACAATAATCTTTAACATACAGACAAGACAACCAAGGAGATGGAAAGTTTATAATTGTTACATTTCAGTTATAGAGTTCTTTATAAATAAAATATTAGCCAGTGCAGCAAGTGTCATATTCTCGATTTATCTGTTCTTTATTGACTCCACCCTCCTGTCACTCACCAGTTCTCATTATTGATTTGGTCTCCAAATCCTGGAGTGTCGATCACTGTCAGCTTCATTTTCACTCCCTTCTCCTCAATCACTGGACAGAGGACAGAGGACAGAGGACAGAGGGGGTTACATATGCAATGGTGCAGGAAATCGTATATTTGATTAAGAGAATAAATGCAAGAATGGGAAATCAAAATCAAGTATACAGGTTTTCACTGAAAATGTATAACCATTGGCATAGATTTGGGTGTCAATGATGTCATGGTGTTGTTAAATTGTCCTAACTATTAGTTTCAAATGATCTTTCTGTTTGAACTAGTCTCAGTATACCTGCTGGGGTTGGGGCTGTGCTGCCTATGATGGGATAAGAGGAGTTTGCAGTTCAGCTCAGAGTAAGTTCTCTATTGTACAAGCTCTCACGTGTGTGGCCATGTGTGAATGTTTGAGGAAAGCAGAGCCGAGAAGTAAAGACTATCATTTTAGTCTATTGCCATTCTTGAGTAAGCACACAAGAATCCACTTTGAGCTTAAGCAAGAGAGCAAACATCTGGAGCCTGACTATTAAGATTTTCACAAACCTGCAATAATGCCTCTCTTTGTGGGTGTCTGGACCAGTCAACCAGACTGACTGAGAATACTGTAGTACATAAACTGGTTTCACTGGTTCGATCACCTTCAACCAGAGGGCAGGATCCCTCTAACAACCTAATGCATTTCTTTTAAGGACATCAACCGTCCATGTTTTTGTGACTAGTCTCCTCTTCAACGTTTCCATGCGTTTAAAAATGTGCACTGAAACTTGTCTGTCTTTTTCTTAAAGATTAAAATGAAAAAATATTATGGTAATTTAAACTGTTGAATTACAAGTTAAATACACAACTAATTATTTTACACAAGCATTTCAGTGTGCATAAGAATGCTCTTCAACACACTAAACTTATCCAATGACCCAAAAAAACACTTTTCAACCACACACACACACATATTTTTTTTTTTACGAGGGTCACTGTTGACTGTTGAAGGATTTATAGGCAGTGAGGAGTTGGTCACTGCAGATGTCTAACTCCAGATTTGAGGCTTCAGGGACGTTTCTACTGTCAGAGCATTGTGGCCAGAGGCAATGAGACTAAACATTTCTCGTCCCTGAGGCAGTGGAGGAACTGGAGTAACTATAAAAACCCTCTTTGAAAAACTGAAGTGTGAGATGTGACTGGGAGGAATGAATAAAGCAACAGAACAGATGATTATCTTTACTGAGAAATGACTGAGAGTTTCCATAAACCGATAAAAATGATAAAAAAAATGTAGCACAATGACAGAATAGTGTTTGATCTGCAGTGAAGAGCAAAATCTTAGCTCTGGTTTGCCTCAGGTAACATAGAGAGAAAAAAAGATCAAAGATCCAGTTTCATTCTGACAGTCTTGTCATGCGGAGGAAAGCCTCACTTCTTCACATCCTCATCACAGCCCCTTAGCTTCATGACATACTTCCTGAACAGAGGTTATGGACCTGTTGTTGATGTGCTCATTCAGCACAGTGGTCCAGAGCAACCGTTCTCCCTGATGATTTTGAAGACAATTGGACCATTTTGTCTGGGGAACACGGATGTCTGATTTCTAATTGAACAACATATCATCCAAATGTTCGTAACTGACACCACAATCCAACACACTATCTGTGCTGAGCAAGTCTGCTCACCAAAAGAGGATTTCATTTGATCTTAATGACGTGATATTAATTAAATTATTTCTCTAGTCAGTCTGCGAGAAGAGTAAAGTCATCAATAAGTTATATATGTCTTTCATTGTAATTGTAAATGGTGCAAAACAGTGCATCTATGGGTGGCACTTTACTATATGAGAACTCCACAGCCTGCCCAAGTACACTTCAGCAGGTGGAAGACTGGGATCGAACAGCGTACCTCCTAAGTAAGAGGATGACGAGCTCTACCACCTGAGCCACAGCCGACCCAATAAGGCAATAAGTGCCTCCTGTGGTGTGAGTCGTCACATAACTAAGAAAAACATATGAAATGAAATACCAATTATTTGCCAATACTTGCATATATGACAACTTTATAAAAAATGTGTGTTATATGTTTATTGTCTTAATAACAACTTCTATATATTTGGTTGCATTGTCTTTTCTTCTTCTTTGTAGTTATTTAGAATTTAGTCAATGGTTAAATTGTATAAAGCGTCAATCATATAACCTTTTCATAGGGTCTGATAATGATATCCGTCTTTTTTAGTTTCGACATTGGACATGTTTCACTCCTCAATATCAACCCCCAAAATCCATTTTGGTTGGGCTCTTAACTAGACATGTAACAAACTCATAATAGCCTTCATCATCCTTATAACATTATCAATTTGTGTGTATAGCCAGGCATTAACCCATGAAATACATCTTCCTGTCACTCTCATTAACCTTGACGATTGCAAAGCTCATAGATGATGTGATGGGGAGAGATCTTCAGTTTGCATCTGAATGATGACTGGACTTTTTGCCAGGACGCTGTTTGTGTTCAGCAGCACATTCCAACTGTCCAAGTCATACAAGACCAGAGTTTATTGAGAAGTTCATGTTTTCTGTGTTTTTGAGTGCATAGCATAAATATAATATAGAAGAATCTAGAAGAATATATGTATTAGGAAACGTGAGAGAGCATGAATGACAAAGTAATTAATGAAAACACAAACATGAAATGTGTGTGAGTGTGTTAGCGTGTGTAAGCATTCATGACTTTGGCCTGAGGTCACTATTTGTTTTAACGGGTGAACAATTCAGCCAGAGTATTTGCTGTTGATCCCAGCTATCATTTGTGAGTTTCACCATGAACTCAATTTTAAGGACTACCTACAAACTTCACAAAGTGACTACATATTCTGAGCGCTACATTTTCTCTGTGAAAATGTGAAAATGCTAGTTTTAAAGGTACAGTGTGTAGGACTTAGTGACATCTAGTGGTGAAGTTGCATGTTGCAGCTGAACACCCCTCACCTCACCCTCTCCTTCCAAACATGAAAAAGAACCTGTGGTAGCTTCAGTTGTCATAAAAACTCAAAAGGTGTTTAGTTTGTTCAGTCTGGACTAATGTAAAACACATGGCGGCCTCTGTAGAGAGGGTCCCCTCCATGTAAATATAAAGTATTTAAATATAAAGGGTCTTTTCTGGGGTAAAGAAAACTACAATTCATACAATTTAGATGAAACAAACTAGTGAAAACATCATGAGGATTATTCTACATTCAATTTGTGCCAATAGATCCTTTCACCTAAATCTTACACACTGGACCTTTAAATAGGAAATGTTCACTGTCCTCATGGTGTTAGTATGGCATGCTGATGTTTGCAAATCTGTGTTATCATTTGGCAATACAAAAGTGCAGTCTGCTGCACTCCTAAAGTCATCAGAGTGTCATTAGCATTCAACAAGTAGCAAACAGCATTTCCCACAGTAATTTATCACTAAAATATACACAACAAAATAATATATTATAACTATTCATGTCGTCATAAATCAGTCCTGCTTTATTCACCTGGAAAGGGAACCACTGTATTAATGGTAGAAACCTTTGACAGTTAAAGATGTTATATTGTGTCGTGGTAAAATATCAACAGTGACGTGGAAATACTGATGTTAAGCTTAATAATTGACATCCTACAGGAGAAAACTACAATTCTGGACAAGAAGATTTTATGAGAAACATTCAAGAGTAACCAGGCTGAAAATTTAAAAGATCTTTCACCTCTGACTCCTGTCAGTGTCACAGGTATGGGTGTGGTGCATGAGAAGCATACATTTTGTACTTTTAAACGCACACCTCCGAGATTGTCAGGAGTGTTAAGTTGCTCTTTATGTTGGAACAACAAGATGGTTTGTTCAAAAGGTCAAAGAGGGTTTCAGCAAAGTTTTAAAGGAAGCTCCGAAGCAGTGTGGACGTCAGACATTTACACAGAGAAAGTGAGATATGAAACTGATTACAATGTTAATGTGTATGTAGCAGCAGAGGTCCTGTACTGTCTACACAATAAACTATTCCTGTGAGAGCAACACATTACAACCGGGTGAAATTAAATGTCGAGGCACACAATATATAGCTGTGTGCAGATTGGAAAATCTAAATGTGAAATAAACTTAATCTGGATTAATCCGTACAGACAGATAAGACAGTCAAAGCTGAGGTTCCTGGTCATGGGACAAGCAGAAAAGGGAAAGTGATGTGAAAGTAGCACGTAGGTCATTAGTCATAACCTCTTCACACTGGCCTGAACAAATGGAAATGTAGACAGGAGAGGACAGGGGAACAGAAACACATGTCCATATTTGATATTCAAGGTACACCGTCTCCTATAAGACCATAAAGGGACAAATCCACATACCTCATAGCCTCATGAATCTTGTGTGTGTGTGTGTGTGTGTGTGTGTGTGTGTGTGTGTGCGGACTCACCATGGCTGACTGAATGCAGTTTGACTGTTTTGGAGATCTCCTCTGCGTAGTTGGGCATGCAGGACTTTCGGCTGACTTTGGACTTGAATAGAGTGTTGACAAGTGTGGACTTCCCCAAACCACTCTGACCTGCAGGCACATCAAACAAACCTGGATTTAACACGTGTCTTGGGTGATCGGACCACAAGTGGACAGCTCTAGCTAAACCGGTTTAGACCTACATTAGAAGGTGTCTCCAGTGACCACTTGTGATCGGATTGCACAATTCAAATGTAGTATTTTTAAACAGCAGAAGCCAGGAAAACACTTCTCACTTTTTATTAAAAAGTGTAACATTCATTCATATTCAACATGCAATGACCCTCTTGAACTATCAGTGAAGTAAGCCAGTAATATTATGTATGACGCGAGGAAGTAAAGCCATCCTGAGTGGACAATCATGCCAAATGTTACGAGCCTCAGCTGCTTCCTTACTACTAACCAGCTACCAATGACACGCCTTTGTCCTCATGGCCAAGAGGATAAGAAACCCTGTGCAATGTTGCCAGTGGTGACTGAGATTTAATGTGGTCCGTCTTGGTGCCTCTCATCTTTACATGTTCTCTCGACTGTGTGGTTGTTTAAGGGTATATATATCTGAGTGCAAGCACACAGTTTGAGCAGAAGCAGAGCAAACGCACTGCCTCACTTGTTCCATATCGAAAACAACACTTAAAAAAGATCTTACAGCTAAGGTTGTGAGCAAATTATGGAGTCTGTCACTTCATCTATTTGTAAGTACAATTATATTTATACAAGTATAAACAAACTCATTGAGCATCATGCAAGAACCATTGGGATGAAGAGATTTGTTCTTAAGTTGAACTGAAAGAGTGATTTAGTGATGAGACTTTTCTTGTTTTTCTTACAGGTCTCAGAATTTTGGATTGTTTTGGAAGAAATCATCTGAAACTAATTTGCTGTTATTCAAATAGAAAATATTTTTTATTAACGATTGTATATTTCATTAGATTATATATATTTATATCTTTATAATATTATAATTATGTAAATAACTTGTAAATTAATTAATTAAATTAAACGAATTAAACTAATTAATATCGATGCTAAATGTCTCCTTTGTTTTGCAAAATAATTCAGTCGCATGCCTCTTGCGCAAGGTGCACACAGAAATGGCTGGCTGGACTTCACTGTCGCCATGTTAACTATTTTCATTATTAATTTTTTTCTCCAGGTTATTGGTCGTATGCTTAAACTATCGGCCTCCTTGACACCTTGACACCTTGACAGAGCCTAGATCGTGCCGTGAGGGTCAGGTGGAGAGCTGCTCTACACGCCATTCCACTGCTCACACTACTGAAAACTTCAAACTTTACTCTCTGCATCTCTAAAATCAGGACTTCATTCTCCAAACTCGTTTTTCTCTTTACTCTTTGATGCAGTTTAGTGAATAAATAGTTGACATATAAATAGGCAATTCAATATGCTAATATGCTACCCTTTTGCACGCTTGCTCAAGAATACACAGATGGCATTTATAATTTTATGCCTGTCATTGACATCCTTTATTAATCTTAAATCCCTGGTAAATCTGTTTGCATAAACTCACCATACAAACAAATATACGATGTACATGTATGCACCAGTAAGAGGCCGACTGTCCTGCTGCATCACCAAACTTCCACTGCTTCTACACACTTCTAACCCGCTCTCAGACATGACCTGCGGGTAAAATGTTGGCTATAGAATTTAGCGTGTCTTGCACACATGCACAACACAGCTGGGGGTGCTCTGCACAGATGCGTTCACAACAGCAACAAATCCTCCGCATTATAAAGGTGAAAGGTGGAGCAGCTAGATGCAGCAAGCAGAGACAGGAAGAGATGTATTAACTGAGCTTTTTCAGTCAAAGCTAATAGGACCAGTTCATCTCTACGTGTGTGTGTGTGGCCGGAAAGAGCACAACCACTTCCCCCTCACACAGTCAGACTTCCTATTTTAATATGAAAAAATATATATTACAAACACACACATGCACACCGAACACATATACACGCACACACACACTCAGGATGAAGGAGAGCAAATGTAGAATATTGCTGTTTAGTCTGGTATTTTAAATGACAACAGAAAACTCAAAGAAAGGAAACGCCATTGGTCGGACTGTAAGCTTGCCATGGTGGAGAGCTTTGTTTAGTGGCTCAGAAGAGACTGACCTCACTGAAGAGCTCTGTGATTGGTCAAAGCACAGCAGGTCGGTGGGTTTGAATCACTGAAAGAACATTTTAGCAGAAGAATGTCGCGACACACATGCACACACAAAAGCAAGATGCTTGAGAGCGGGGGTATGTTCAGTGACAGATGAATAAAGTTAAAATAGAAAAGGAAAAACTAAATATGAGTATATACTCATATTTAGTTTTTCCTTTTCTATTTTAACTTTATTCATATATATATATAATGGTGTTTGATAATGGCCAATAAAGTGTTTCTGCAGGAGTTTTTGGAGGAGACTATGTTTCAGATCATTATTATTTGTTATTGCTTGTACTTGTATTTATGTGGGTGAGACTCACCAACTACCATGATGTTGAACTCGAAACCAGCCTTCATGGTCTTGCGCCTCATCTGGTCCAGTACTGCCTCAATTCCCACGTATCCAAACAGGTCAGTGCCTTGGATGAAGCTAATCTGCTGGCCAGGCAATGGCTGGCAAAGGTCCCCATCCAGCTCCATTTCTTTCTTCATCTCTCCTTCCTTCATTCCCTTCTCCTTCCCCTTCTCCTCCATCACTGGACAAACCTCCAAACAGTTCTCCTCTTTTTCTGTCATGGAATTCTGGGTAGTCATGCTGGCGGTTTGTTCATCGTTCTTGTCCTCATCTTTTTGCTCTTGTCCCATTATGCCTCCCACTTCCTCCTCTCTCTCCTCCATTGGGGTGAGCGGGGGTGCCTCCAGCTCTTCAGTCGTGTCTGTGGGTAAAAAAGAGACAGCCATCAGAGAGGAGTTCTCAGCAGTTTTCAATGACTTGGCTTTGTGGAGGGTCATGTCTGTATGTGTCACTATTTGTAACACACTGAAAATGTAACTTTCATTAGTTATTAGTTAACTGATTGCACTCATTCAACTCATCCTGCTCACTGAGCAGGTTATCATTGTGTTGCTGGTAGAGTGAGGTCGTCAGGTTTGGTATACCATGGTGTTTGTGCAGCGACCCAACCTGGGCACCTGGATAAACTGCTGTCTGCGAATAGGTAGTAGATTTGCTCGACATGCAGAGATGAGACTGAGCAGCTCAAAGAATCTCTGCTTGGACAGAAATGTGTGTTTTTTTGGTTGGGTAATATTAATAATGATAAACATTATTTCTACTCATTCAAAACAAGAAGAGAACAGATTTTAAGAAACACTAGAACGTGTTGGAATTAACATTTAAAAGAAAAGGAAATAAAAAAGAAAAAGGAATCAAATGAAAATTTAAAAAATGGATGAAAAGTGCAAGATCTAGTTAAAGTCTGAAGTAAAACGTTTTTGAGTTTTCTTTTTAAGACATTCACTGAACTAGCTTCTCTGATATCTAGCAGCAGTCAGTCTGTTCCACAACTGTGGAGTGTCATTTACCAGAGCTGCATCTCCAGTTTTCTTTCAGCTGTTATTGGGAACATCTAATAGACTTGCTGCAGATGATCTCAGTGATCCAGAGGGGACATAGTTAACTAGAGAGTCAGCTATGTAACTAACCATTCAGAGCCTTGTATCAGTCCAGTGTATTACAGGCAACCAGTGCAAAGCAGCTCTAACTGGACTAATGTGTTCTCTCCTCTTGGTTTCTATTTAGCAGCCAAGCAGCAGAGTTCTGAATGAGCTGGAGTCTCTTTGTTGTTTTCTTTGGGAGGCCTGTAAAAGGTGCATTACAGTAATCTAGTCAGCTAGAAATTAAAGGTCCAGTGTGTAAGATTTAGGTGAAAAGGAACTATTGACAGAAATTGAATGTAGAATAATCCTCATGATGTTTTCACTAGTTCGTTTCATCTAAATTATATGAATTGTAGTTTTCTTTACCCCAGAAAAGGTCCTTTATATTTAGATACTTTAAATTTACATGGAGGGGACCCTCTCTACAGAGGCCGCCATGTTTTTTACATTAGTCCAGACTGGACAAACTAAACACCTTTTGAGTTTTTATGACAACTGAAGCTACCACAGGTTATTTTCATGTTTGGAAGGAGAGGGTGAGGTTCAGCTGCAAATGAAATTCACAAAATTCTACACACTGAACCTTTAAAGCATGAATCAGATTTTCAGTATCTCTCAGATTTATAAATGACTGAACCCCACTCTCTCTCTCTCTCTTTGCAGGTATCTGACTCCAAAGCTACAGGATTCAGACAATAGCAACAATTATTATTATTGTTATTACTATTATATGAATTTTTGTCATTAATAATATTCTTACACTCTTATTGTTTGTATTATAACTAGTCAGAGCTGAAACTGGATGGTGCGCAAATGTTCCTGCTCTCTCTCTCCCTTAGGCTTAAACCAATCATTTTTTCCTCATTAAGTTTTAGGAAAGTATTGCTCCTCCGTGTATTTATTGCTTAAAGACATTTAGTCATGAAGCACAGTGCGTACAGTTGTGTATAATCTGCATAACTACTTGCTCTCATGATGTCACCCAGTGACAGCATGAAAATGACAACAATAAAGGTCCAGGGCAGCTCCCCTGTGCAACCCTTAAACAGCTGTCATGTTTCTTAGAAATGTGATCTCCAATACTGACGTAGACCTTCCTCTCTTTAATGCACGTTTAAACCAGTTTAGGACACCAACCAACTTCTCGGGACGATTGATAAGGATGTCGTGGTGGATGGAATACAAAGCAGTGCTCAGGTACAAGAAGATCAGAAAACCCTTGTTTTCATCAGGGTCTAACCTGAGGTCACTGATTGTTTTAGTAAGTTCAGTGTCAGTGCTTATGGATGGGCTCTTAAGCCAGACTGTAACTGCTCCAGGTTGTTTTTCAAGTACCTAACTAATGAATGGGAGGTTGGACATTGACCTGTATCTGGTCAGGATGTTTTATAATCTGAAGGACATGGCTTGAAATGCTGTTAAACACCTGCAGTAGGTACAAGGTCAATACAATACTCAGAGACAGTCTAACAAAGCTCACATAATTTGATTAAGGTGAATTTTGCCATCGTTGCATTATTTTCACAGGATTTGTTACTGAAATTCGGGACCAATCAGGCTTCGGTTCCTACACAGCAAATTACCAACCAACCCTGCAGGGCAACATGAGCTCGTAGTGCATCCAGCGGGGGATCCCCTGCTGTGTTCACACTTTAACTTCTCATGGATTTCTACAGACTTTACACTTGGCGGCCAGGTGGAGAAAGTCTGCAGAGATTGCAGTGTCTCACTCGGACATTTGCGTTGCACACTTTCTGGAGAAAATAAGGAGGACCATGGCTCTAGCAGCACATAACATTAGCCTACAGTTAGCTAGCAGCTCACATGAAAAGATTGTACATGAAGCAAATTACTCAGTGTAAAAGGAGGAACAGAGAACTTCTTGAAGCACTGGACACATTTGAAAGTGGAAGGATGCAGGCAGTGTGAAAACAATTGATCGTGAGTTTAAAGCTGGGATGTTTTGCTGTATTAAGTAGTGACACTGTTATTTAGTGTCAAATTATTGTAGTTGGGTTAGGTTTTATTTATTATGTGATTTTGTTTGTTTGCACAATTCAGACTTCAAATCTTT